ATTAATATAGATATCAAACCCACGACTGCTAGAATTTCAAATGAGAACTCTTGACAAATCAAAAATTTCATACAAGTATTTCAATACCTATAATTACTTACAAGCAAAACAACAGGAAACCTAAGAAAACAAACAAAACAATTGAAAATATGAGAAACTAAGAAAGTAAAGTAACACGTAAAGTAAAGTAAATATGTGTAAAGTTGAATCATTAAATATTTATGTGTTTGTGTAAAACAATCTAAAGCCGTACACAAAAGATACTTAGCCACTGAAATACACACACCGTCACACACACACACACACACACGCACACTCAGTCACATATTTACATTCACACTTACTCAACCGAATTCAATCGAAATGCATTATGAAATGATGTTAGTGCGCCGGCTTTTTGGTATGGAGCGTTCAAAGCGTAATCAAATATTTAGCCCAACGATAATATACATACAGATAGATACAGATACACGGATACAATTCGCGCCTAAGCGTGTTGATGTTGATAATGAACAAAAGGACACACCGAGAAAAGCAGCATGCGAATTAATAGAACTATATACATATATACATACTTAGTACATACATCATAATGAGTGCAAAATACGCAATGCAGCTATTTGAGAAACACTAAAAAGTATTACTTTAACATGTAGAGAAAAATATAAATTAAAAACAAAAAGAAAAACAAAAGCAAAATAAGAGAAAAATCTATAAGAAAAGCAACAAACTGAATACATAGTTTACAAGTACATTGAAGAATTTAATAATTAAAAATTTATCAGATTAACACATTTACATTTAATGAACGAAGCCTGCCCGAGGTAACAGTCGCAACTCAGACGCGGGACTTGAGGGGGATTCACAAAGATATAAAGCAAATATATATAAAAGAAAAAAAGAAAACAAGATAAAAGGAATAAACAAACAAGTAAATAAATATATTTAAAGTAAAGTTTAAATCAAGCATAGCGAACAGTTATAAGTTGTACGTGGCGACGTTTTACCGAAAATCATATTGTGAATCTGACTAAATTCAAGACTAAGTAAATATGAATTGCATTGCACACATACATACATAGAAACGTGCATACGTGTGCGTGTGTGTACCAGATTTAGTTGCTGCATGCACTCCTATATGTGTAATTGTAGTTATAATCTATGGATTATTTTATCGGATTCAGAAGCAAGCCCTTGAATTGAGACGGTGTCGGGAGAACGGTATGAACTAAAGGTGGAAAACATTTTGCTTAGCACCAACTCTCATCGATTCACAGCATGTGCTACACATACATACTTATATACATATGCATCAACAGAAACATATCAACCATATTTGTCATATAAATATATTCAGCATATTCTCTCGATCTGCCCTCATTTCCGCTCTGAGCGAGCACTCATACACCTCTACCAGAGCAACCCGACAAAAAAAGTTAAGAATTTGAAGCGTGTTTGGGTTAGAGCAACAACAGCAACAACAACAACTAAAACAACAACAGCATTAGAAATTAAGTTATATCGGAAGCGCAAGTTATTGAAAATTGAAAAAATTGATTAAGATATCAAAATTATTTTAAGATTACGGACCGATAGCGAGTGCGTATCGTCGTCGTTGTGGTCGTAGACAATGACAATGAATAGATGAAAGCATAGAGAATTTGTTAAATATTTTGCCAACGAAGAAAGACAGAAATGAAAATAATGAATTATTAATTTTATATATTATAGTTACACGGTATACTTTTTTAAAGAGTTTATTTCAAATGTTTTTTGGTACAATATTTTATAGATTTTATAGATTTGTGTGCTCATTAGTATTTTTAGTAGCAAATGAATTTGGTGTGCGTGGTTTTAGCGGAAAGTGCAAGGAATTCATGTGGAAATGCAAGCGTTGCTGCGTTCGTACTGTATTCAGAGAATTTTCTTGTTTACTTTGGCGGTTGGACAGGCGCTTGCAACGTATATATATAACTTATATAGAATATATACATATATATATATATGTATGTATGTATGTATGTATATATACATATATAATCGTACATACCTATTATAGCTAGCGAAATCTGTGCTTACTTGCTTTATTAATATTGACTCGTTTCTTGTACACTTGAGTTCAGTTACTGAAAAATTGATACATGAAAACTACATGGAGGAAACTCAGAAAACAGTTTACAAAGAAATCAAAAATTAAAAAAAGAAAAAAAAAACAGACAGAAGTTCCTACTTTTTAGTGAAATGATAAATACATGCTAAAAACAGAAATCGAAACAGAAATAGTTACCGAAACTAAACTGAAGAATTTGCAACAGTGAATTAATTATACATTTACATGATATGATCATCCGTGTAGATGATAAATGTTGATCCATTTGAGAAATTCTTTTACCTTATGAATAGTCTACTTTGCTCTTTTGCTTTTCTTTGCCTTTTTCTTATCCTTGGTATGTCTATTTTGAACTTTGTGCGCGTTAGTCAAAACAAAACAAAATTATGGCAAAATTCAACTAGGGTCCAAGTTTTTAAATATAATCAATTATCTTAAAGAACTTACATATTTAAATCAACTCCAACGAACTGGGCCGGATAATCTGGCAGTTTGTTGCAATTTATTGGTACCCAATATTCGAGATTGAAATGTTACAAAGCAAAATTAAAAACTGAATGTGAAAAAAGA